AAAAAAAACCCATTATGGCGCATTGCCAACAGTTTTAACTCTGGAAGAGTCCCTAACCAAATGGGAAAAACATCACTGAATTGATTGTTTGACAGAACCAAATACTCAAGCATCACACAATTCGCCAATGACCTCGGTAATTTCCCCTGCAATTGGTTTTGACTAACATCAATCATCCTCAAACTGCTTCTATTGTTGAATGATTGAGGCATCATTCCATGAAAAGAGTTGCTTCCAAGAAGTAAAAGGATTAGACCATCACTAAATTTTCCGAGACACTGAGGAAGCGTGCCACTCAAGTTATTTTTCGACAAGTCAAGGTACAGAAGAGAATTCATATTGCAAAGCAATGGTGAAATTTCTCCAGTAAATTTGTTGTTATTGGCTCCATATTCTAGCAAGGATGGTGGAGGGATCGTAATTGTCCACGAAAAAATGTTGTTTGAAAGCCTCAAAGAGAGCAAGTTAACCCAGGGTATGACAGCTGGACGTTCTCCTGAAAATAAGTTTCCAAAAATGTCCAGGAGTACCAGAGTTTCCTTGCTTAAATTCCACATCCAGTTTGGTACTTCACCACCGATTTTGTTGTCTGCCAGATCCAACCGCTCCAATTTTTTCTGATTTTGTAGGAAATATGGGAACTCTTTTAAATTGCATGAACTCAAAGACAAAATGGTGAACTGTTGAAGAGCTGCATTCATAATATTGGATCCAGTAACAAATTCAAAGTTGTTCGAACTCAATTGGAGTTGGTAGAGATTTTGTTGCTTCTGAAACATTTGAAACTCCACTACACCGCTCAGGTTATTTGACTGTAGACAAAGGATCCTGAGATTGATGAGATTGGAAAATGAGGCTGGAATTGAACCACTCAAATGATTAAAAGCAAATTCTAGGTAAACTAGTTTGGTAAAGTTACCTAGCCAAGATGGAATTGGACCAGTTAAAGAATTCGCACCATCTATAAACAGTCAATTGGGTAAGGTTTGCCAAAGAATCAGGAATTGGACCTCCAAATCGGCTTGCTGAAATGTCTAGGTAAGTGAGCTGTCTAAGATTGCCAAATGCAGATGGAACCAACGAGTTTGAAAAATTGCATTGAGCAACATCCAACTTTTGCAATGAATTAATCTTTTCAATCGAAGGAGGTATGGTTCCGAAAAAACTAGTAAACTCAACTTTCAGTGAGATGAGAGGACTACTTCGATTAAATTCGGGCAAATATCCAGTGAGATCTTGGTCGTATCTCACATTAAGAACTTCTAAGTTTTGTAGACTGAAAATTTTCACTAGGAATTCGCCAAACAGATCACATTTCTTGAGGGCAAGGTGTGTTAAAAATGATAAATTTGTCAAGGAAATGGGTATGATCGATGATATGTTAATGAAACTGAGATCAAGAGTTTTTAGACTAGTTAAATTTTGAACCAGACTACTCATATCGGATGGTTGAAGTTTCAACAATCGCTGAGGATTATCGGGAGATGTTTCAATTTCAAGAATATTGGAACGCAGATTAAGGTATGTCAACTTGGACAAGTGTGAGACTTCAGATGGGACTTGACCATAAAAGAAAGACGCAGAGAGGTCAAGATGAGTGAGGCTTGGAAAATTTCTTATGCTAGATGGAATTTGAAAGTAGTTGAAGTTATTGTCAGAGAGGTTCAACCTTTAAAGATGCACCAGGCTAACTGCTGCTAAGATCAAGGCCAATAACATGACCCGTCATCTCGTCACACTCCACGCCGTCCCACGAGCAGCAACTGCTATTTCCTCCTCTAGCTGGTTTCCATGATGAAACCTTTGGATAAGCACCTTTAGAACGTGAAGCAGATTTGTCAATAATAAAGCTCTCCTTGAACTGCAGCAAGGCAGAGCTCTCCTCGGCATGGCCAGATAGCTGCTGCAAAGAGTCTACAAAGTTTGCAACCACAAGATGAAACAACAACAAAACTAGTAGTTTCGAGAGCATGCGAATCGACAGGTTCCCCATAATGTTTTGATATTTTTTGTTTGCACTCTTTGCTAAAGAATCATCTATGAAAGTTAAAGTTATAGAGAGCTATCTATTTATAAATTGGCATGATCAAATGGTTGAGCAATAGAGGCGTAATATGGTTGAGCATATTTTGATCAATAAAGAAGTGATTGGAAATAATAATAATAATAATAATAATAATAATAAACTCGAGGCGTAATGTTTTCATCACACTGCAAATATCAGATTTTAAAACGGAAGAATTGTGGTAAACCTCCAGTTCACTACGAAGCAGATCTTAATGCAAAAGGGAAATATCTCATCAACAATTATGTATCCCTCAACAGATTATCAAAGTCACGGGTACATTTTGTGAAGCAGTTGGCTGACATACTTGTTCCCAATAGTGTAACTGAAGCACTAGAAGACCCAAAATGAAAAGAAGCCATGAATGAAGAAATGCGAGCTTTTCAGAAGAATGGCACATGGGAACTCGTGCCCTTACCTCATGAAAAGAATACAGTGGGATGCAGATGGATTTATACTGTGAAACTCAAAGCAGATGAATCCATTGAAAGATATAAAGCTAGATTGGTGGCGAAGGGGTACACAAAAAGATATGGGATAGACTACCAAGATACCTTTGCCCCAGTAGCCAAGATTAAAACTATCAGAGTCCTTCTGTCTCTAGCAGCAAATCTTGATTGGCCACTACATCAGTTTGAGGTAAAAAATGCATTCTTACATGGAGACTTGACGTAAAAAATGCATTCTTACATGGAGACTTGGAAGAAGAAGTATATATGGACTTACCACCAGGATGTAACCTAGCTCGTGACAAGGAGAATCAAGTTTGCAAACTCAGAAAGTCATTGTATGGGTTAAAGCAATCTCCCAGGGTATTGTTTGGCAAATTCACTAAATCCATGAAGAATTTTGGATATATACAGAGTAATGCAGATCACACCTTGTTCTTTAAGCGCAATGGAAGAAGACTTACTACATTGATTGTTTATGTGGATGACATAGTCGTAACTGGAAACGATACAGGAGAGTAACTGAAACTGCAAAAGTATTTGTCTCAGGAATTTGAGATGAAGGATTTAGGTGATCTAAAGTACTTTCTAGGAATTGAAGTAGCTAGGTCCACAACTGGTATATTTCTATCTCAAAGAAAGTATGTATTAGATCTGCTCACTGAAACAGGAATGCTTGGATGCAAACCTGTTGATACACCTATCGAGATGAATCACAAGTTATGTGAAGACATGGATCAAGAACCAACCAATAAGGAACATTACCAACGCCTTGTTGGAAGGTTGATATATTTAGCCCACACAAGACCAGATATTGCATATGCTGTGAGTATGGTTAGTCAGTTTATGCATTCACTCAGTGTGTCTCATAGGAATTCAGTTGATCGGATTTTAAGATACTTAAAGTCGGCCACTGGGAAATGATTAATGCTCTAAAAAAATAGTGATCTCGAAGTTGTTGGATATACAGATGCTGATTGGGCTGGCTATATTATTGATAGACGCTTTACTTCAGGTTACTTCACTTTTGTGGGAGGTAACCTAGTCACTTGGCAGAGTAAGAAACAAAATGTGGTCTCTCGGTCTAGTGCTGAAGCAGAGTATCGAGGAATGGCTCACAGAGTTTGTGAATTACTATGGATCAGAAGACTATTGACAGAATGGGGTTTCAAGCCATAAAAGCTAATGGAGTTACATTGTGATAACAAGTTAGCCATCGATATTGCCCATAATCCAGTTCAACATGATCGAACTAAACATGTTGAGGTGGATGGACATTTTATCAAAGAAAAAATTGAGAAGAAGATCATCCGCCTAACATTCGCAAGATCAGAAGATCAATTGGCAGATATCTTAACCAAAGCTGTTTGTCTCACTTACCAAGTTGGGCATTGGTGACATATATGCACCAACTTGAGGAGGAGTGTTGATGTGAGTCTCCTAATTAATCAAGATGATTTATTTCCTTGATTAATTAAGGGATTTACTTTCCTATTTTATATAATTGATAAATCATTGTATAATTAGGATATACTTTTCTAATCCTTTACTGTATCTAATTCCTTGTAAAGCACTTATGTAAATCCTTATATACAATGGCCGACCCAGAAATTTTTATAAGGGTAGGCTAAATATATATATTTTTTTATAGAGGAGATATATTATAAGCATTTTTTTTTCTCTTGAAACAAAAATGTAAATAAAATTTTATAAATCAAACATGGCCACATTACAAGCAAATATAACATGAAGAAGTACAAAGTATAAATAAATACTAAATCAAATACATTGTCCAACTTAAAAAAATCATATATGCTAATTAATAATTCAAGTTGCAAAAATAAAATATATATCAACAGTCTCCAAAAGTTTTCACCCTAACCCTAAATCATAAAAACTTAACAACAACAATTAAAATTGGAAATTGAATATATATAAAATAAAAAAACTTACCAAGATGAAGAACCTACTGAAGATAGGTTGGTAAATTTTTTAGAGGAGGAGAGCTATTTCCTCTTGGCTCTCAAGATTCAAATATGGCATTTTGGGTGGCTAGAAGAAATTTTTTTATGTTTGCTCTCTATGGGTGTAGCCACTGGCGGACCCAGAAATTTTTTAGCGGAGGTGCAATATTGACTAAGTATGAAAAATAGTTTTTCGGAATACTCATTTTCTAAAGATAATTTTTGGCGGCTTTTATTCCTTACACATCAAATAAGAAAACTTGATTTTATGGGATTTTAATATGAAGTATATATTGACTTAATGAGCCATCATTTTTAGCCTAAATCGTATTTTGCACTAAAACCGATTTTTCATATTTTGATTTGGTGAAAATTTGATTTTCTAGTATTTTTTATATGAATCCAAACGGGGGGTACTTCCCTATTTACATTGTAAACTTAAGTAAATGGAGTAATATAAAAATAAATGAAAGTAAAAGGACAAAGACATTTACTTAAATGTTTGAAAATGGAAATAAGGTAATCTGCACACCAATTGAGCAAAGGGGCAATTTGAAGCACTTACAATGATTTTTCCGATGAATTTATATAGGTTTGGATTGATGTTATTATTTCCTATATGCTTTAGGAGTGGGCTAATATTTATTAGAGTAGAAATAAAGCTTATAACATTTAAACCATGTTCAATACTTTATAAATCTTCCCCTAGGGTGGAGTGCACTCCAGCCTAAGCTTAGGTCCGGCCTTGCTTATATATACTTCCTTATGAAGAATAATAAAATTAACCTAACATATTCAAACCCATATTCATATTTTAGTATTTCCATGATGAAACCTTTGGATAAGCACCTTTAGAATGTGGAGCAAATTCGTTAATAATAAAGCTCTCCTTGAACTGCAGCAAGGCAGAGCTCTCCTCGGCATGGCAAGATAGCTGCTGCAAAGAGTCTACAAAGTTAGCAACCACAAGATGAAACAGTAGTAGAACTATTACTAGTTTCGAGAGCGTGTGAATCGACACGTTGCCCATAATTTTCTTGATATTTTTGTGTGTGCACTCTTAGCTAAAGAATCATATGTGAAAGTGAAAGCTGGAGAGATATCTATTTATGGACAGGCCGCGTGGTCAAATGGTTGAGCAATAAACATATACGTGTTTGACTTCAAGTCAAGTAGCAATGCATTTATGGGTATTGGACGTGTTCAACATCAGCACTTTCTTGGGGATTTCCTCATCGTTTCTTCGGTTTCTAGGCCTGACTTTTGAGTCTATGTTCTGTGGAAATTGTTTTGGCACCACATGGATTTCTTTTGTCCTCTTGAGAGTTCACATTTAAGGGCTTGTCCCTTCATCATTGATTGTTTTGCTTTTGGTCGGAAATTTGCTGTAAGGAAGACTTCCTGAGGAGCTTGGCACTTTAAATAATAGTAAATAAAAGAAACAAAACATCTGTTTGTTTTCTATTCCCTCTGGGTTTCTTTACCTTCCATTTGGATGAGGTTTGAAATTTACTTAATAAGTCGGGAGTTTAAAAGGAGAAATTGACAATTTCCTTGTTTGATAATTTAAACTCAGAATTTTTAAAATGAAGTGCATAAAAAATCGTGAAAATTGGGGCATCAAATTCCCGAGTTTAATTTTCACTAAAATAGGAGTCATTTCACAATTTTCATAATGCAATTTACAAAATTCAACATATATAAATCCAAACACCGAAATCTTCAATTGCCAAAAATTAAAATGATAGAAAACTAAATTACATCATTTTAGAATTCTATGTAATTTTCAATTCTTCATCCAAACGAAATGAAATCATATTTCGAAGAAAAAAAAAAAGACATTGTAATATACTCTACTTTTATATCATATTCGAAAAGCGCGGAAGTGTGATAAAAAGAACAAATTCTTTGATTGGTCATATATTCTAAAAGCAAAAGCATTGTAATATAAGAAAGAAAGAACAATACGTAGATATGGGATGGGAATATCTTGATGTACACCAGGTCAATGAATGTATATTTCAGTGACCACTCAAATATAGCAATTAAGCCCTACAAATCTAACACTAATAAGAAAAATAGACGCACTATTATTACATTTTGGGTTGATTACAAATGTCTTGTAGAAACAAAAGCTCCCTTACATTACATGTTACATGTTGTGATTGCATTTTACTACGTCAGATTTCATCTATTATTTTGATGAAACTTATTAATTGAATTTGATTGCAGACCAAATTGAAATGACAAGAAATAAAATGAAAAGTTAGTCAAATTACGGAGATCAAACATATAATTTAGTATTTCTTTAGGGGCTCATTCTTCATTTTCTACGTTCTTAATTATTTTTGTCAAGTTTTAATTAAGTCAAAATTCAAGGATCGGTTGACGGTCCCTATAAAGTTTCACCTAAATAGGAAATCGTTTAGGCATTTAATTATGACCGTGAACATTTCATTGTTTCTCTTTTTAGTATAGAGTTTTGTGAACTGCAGGATGTTAATTTGGTTACCGAGAAAAATTTGGAAAATCCAGGGTTAATTTGGTTTCTGTATTTTAAGCATTTTGAAATGAAGAGAAAATAAATAGGAGATATAGGAATGAAGGGATGCGGCGGAGAGAGTTGCATTGGGTTAGGGTGCAGGTGATTGAATTGCACCCAATGCACTCTTTGCTCTTTTGCAATTAGCAGCAACTATTGTAGGTATATTCATGTGAGGCTTTGGAAAGCTTCAATTTCATTTCATCCAATGTACTCTGTGCTCAATTAATGATTAAAATCATTTTATTACATTATGAATGCAGAAAATCCAAATACACCTTTATTTGCATTAATTAGCATAACCACCACAAAGAGTACAACTAGAAAGACAGAGCAAGGTTACGTGAATGAAAGAAAAACAAGAAAGCAACTCCAAATGCATGACCTTATAACAAACTATACTTCTGCATCCCCCAGTCTACCCACAGGACAACTCCAAAGATAGAGCACGGTTACATGGAAGGAAGGAAGAAAAAACAAGAAAACTACTCCAAATCCTTGACTTTATAACACACTGAATTTCTGCATCCCCAACTCTACCTTTTCCATATCATTAGCCTGACCATTCCAACGATCTTAAGAAACAACTCCTGCCTTCTTGTGATGGCGACATCCGCAAGAACCACTCCCACTACAAACCCACTTCCAATTCCAGCCAAACAAAATTTCAAATCAAATTCAAGCGTTCGAGCTGAGCCTGAATCACTGTCTTCTTCAGTTGAAGGTGGCGGTTGAGGGGCCTCTTGATTTCCGCATTTCTTTGGTAATGGATCTCCACACAATCCTGGGTTTCCCTCATATGAAGTGCTATTGAATGAAGTAAGTTGGGTACCTTGCGGTATAGGACCTGTGAGATTGTTGTGAGACACATCAAAGTTCTCAAGGAATGTAAGTTGTGTCAGTTGTTGGGGGATATGTCCTGAGAGCTTGTTTTGTGAAAGGTCCAACGATTCAAGATTCCATAAGTTCCCCAAGGATGATAGAATAGAACCAGTGAGAATGTTGTTGGAAATATTGAGTGAGTGAAGCTCCTTAAGGTTCCCAATGAATTCTGGAATCCTACCTTCAAATTTGTTGCTTGAGATATCAATGGTTGCAAGGCCTTCTTGAATCTTTGAATAGTACAAATCCAAACCTTTAATTGCTAATGTGATTGAGTAATCAACACTCCGCACAACATAAAAACCATTGAAGTTATAGTCTACTTTTGTATGCATGTATGTTGACTTATTTACAATAATATCTGGAAACAAAGGTGGAATCTCACCTTTGAAACTGTTGTAAGACAAATCAAGAATGCGTAACTTGGGGAAGTCAACATTTGTTCTAGACTGTCCTATTACACCTTTGAAGCGATTATGGCGCATTGCCAAAAGTTTTAACTCTGGGAGAGTCCCCAACCAAATGGGGAAAACATCACTGAATTGATTGTCTGACAGAACCAGATACTCGAGTTTCACACAATTCGCCAATGACCTCGGTAATGGCCCCTGCAATTGGTTATGACTAACATCAATCATCTGCAAATCGCTTCTGTTGTTGTATGATTGAGGCATCATGCCATGAAAAGAGTTGCTTCCAAGAAGTAAAAGGATTAGACGATCACTAAAGTTTCCGAGACACTGAGGAAGCATGCCACTCAAGTTATTTTTCGACACGTCAAGGAACTGAAGAGAACTCATATTGCAAAGCAATGGTGAAATTTTTCCAGTAAAATTGTTGTTTTCAGCTCCATATTCTACCAGGGATGGTGGAGGGATCGGTAATCGTCCATGAAAAGTGTTGCCCGAAAGCCTCAAGCATATTAGCTTAACCCAGGGTAAGACAGCTGGAAGTTCTCCTGAAATTAAGTTTCCAGAAATGTCCAGGAGTGTCAGAGTTTCCTTGCCTATGTTCCACATCCAATTTGGTAGCTCGCCATGGATTTGGTTTCCTGCCATATCCAACCGCTCCAACTTTGTCTGATTTCTTAGGAAATATGGGACCTCTTTTA